GTTATAACTTCAATACGACTTTAGCTATCTACAAGAAATTTAGCAGGAATTCAGGGCCACATAAACTAAACAAAATGACATCAACAAGACCTTCGTAAAAAAACTACAAATGGAGATAAAAACCTAAAAGGAGTTTTTGTTTATTTATTCCTTATGTAGGCATTAAATCAAAAAATCATTTATACGGCTTTGAAGAGCAATAATTCAGCTTTCCAACGGATATAGTAACATCGAATTTGGATAATATCCTGAAGAGTTATGAATGATCGGAAGGGTGTTGTGTTCCACTTAGACAACGCTAGGCCCCACACCTCATTGGTCACTCGCAATAAATTTATTGAGTCTTGGATGGGACCTTTCGTCCCACCCTCCCTGTTCACCAGACCTAGCTCCAAGTGATTACCACTTATTCCGGTCTCTGCAGAACTCCATGAATGGAAAGAAATTCCAAAAGGAAGAGGACAAACGGTTATCGTACGGAGAATTTTTCTCTCAAATCTTTTAATACTTTTTTCTTCTTAATACTTGCTGGTTAGTGTCCAGGTCTCACAGCCATATATTAGAACTGGCTTTATTACAGCATTATACACCTTTAATTTGAGATTTCTTGAGATTTTTCGGAATTTAAATACCTTTGAAAGGGAGAAGAAAGCTCTGTTTACTCTATTTATACGCTGGTCTATTTCTGCCTATTGGTCATTCATTGAGGTTAATGTGGAGCTGAGGTATTTGAAGTTTTCTACTCTCGGGAATGATTTTCCTTCTACTCAAATCCTTTTATTGGGGTGGAATTTTTGGCTTATTATTATATATTTTGTTTTGTCTTCATTCACTTGTCGGCCGATCTGCTCTGCCTCTCTTACCAGAGTCTCAGCGAGTTTCTTAGTTTCCTCTCTATTACATCCAAGGACAGCTCTATTATCTGTGTAACCAAGAATTTTCTGATTCATTCCAACGTGGAACACTCCATTTCCCTTTGATGTTCTTCTTATCACCTTCTCCAGGTCTAAGTTGAAAAACATTGGTGATAGTCCATCTCCCTCCCATAAGTTCTTTCGAACTTTGAAGGCTTCAGATACTTCTCCTTGTATTAGGACTTAACATTAAGGATCATTTGTACACGCTTTTGTCAATCTCACCAACTTACCGGGAACTCCCAGTTCATTCATGATTTTTCAAAGACAGTTCTTGTCAACAGAACTGTTTGTTGAAATCGACAAATAGGGCATGGATGTACTGAGCTACTTCCCATCATTTTTTGAGTACTTGTTTTAGGATGAAGATCTGGTCTAGTGTGCTCTTTCTGTTTTTGAATCCAACTTGGTGGTCACCTATTATATTTTCGTAATATAGATATATCCGGTTTCGTAGGATATTGGTCATTATCTTGTAGGCAACCGGAAGGAGTGCTATGCCTCTGTAATTACTACACTCAAACATGGGGCCTTTCTTCAGGTCAGGACAGATTAGGCCCATATTCCAAGCCTCAGGTATCCTTTCCTATTCCCATATTTCCTATTCCCAGGATTAGTTGTAGCAGCTTGGCTCTTAAATTTTCTCCTCCATCTTTAAACAGTTCTGGTGGTTGGTTGTCTATCCCTGTGGCCTTTCTTATTTTAAGCCTTTCGATAGCTATTTCTACATCCAGTATATCTGGTTTTTCAATCTCTTCAAGATCCTCTGTGTGGTCTATGTCTTCTTTGTTTGTGGGGTCCCCTTGATTGCGAAGTTCCTGGAAATGTTCTTTCCAGATGCTCAATATCTTTTCTTTAGATGCCATCTTTTCCTTGCATTTGCATATTTCTCGCTTTATATCCTACCTTTTCTTTCCTAATGTCCGCTTAGAATTCATGTGTATTTGTATATTCATGTATATATCAGTTGTCCTCAATGGTTTGCAATCTTTCTTTGAGGAGTTTCCTCTTTACCGATCTTATAATTTTGTTTGCCTTTTTCTTATCAGCTGTGTACTTGTCCTGACCAACTTGATCAGTTACAGCTAGGCAGAGGACTTTCATTTGTTTTCGTTTCTCCTGAATACCTATCACTTCCTTAGCTGTTTCTTTTAGTCATTTCTCTATTTCCTCTCAGTGTTGGTCCACTGTGAGGCACTCCGAATTCAAGTGTTCGAATTTATTTTTCAGCTCAAGTTTCAACTATTATCTCTTACCTACTACTTTCCACTCGATCTTCTGTTTTGTAAATTCACTTCAATCTCTGACATAGTTTAATTCTAATCAGTGAGTGATTTGAATCACAGTCTGCTCCACGATAGCTTCTTACATTTTGTAATGAGCTCTGATATCTCTTGTCCACCAGCATATGGTCAATTTGTTTTTTCACTGCTTTGGGGTTTATCCACGTATATATCCTTATATATACTAGTGGATATCCTTGTGTAGGAACATTGTACTGCTGATGACTAGAACTTTAGCTGCTGCCAGACTGATACATCTCACTCCATTGTCATTGCTATTTTCTTGAAGGCTTTGGCCTCTGATAATGGGCCTGAATTGGAGTTCTCATCCTATCTTTGCATTAAAGTCAACTAAGACTAACTTTATGCCTTGTCTATGAGCTTGGTCCACAATATTTTCCAACTAACTGTAGAAATCATCCTTCACATCTTCATCTTTGTCTTCGGTTGGTGCATACACGTTAATTATCGTGATATTATTCAACAACCTTTAACTCGTCATACACTAATATTTTGATTTATCGGGATGAAGTTTATGATTAATTTCCTTGCTGCTTAACTAGCTATAAATCCTGTACTGGCTGTCGCATTTTTATTTTTTCTTCCGGAATAAAATAGTGTATGGCCGTCGATAATGGTTTTGCCACCATCTAGCCACCTTATCTCTTGAATGGCTGTTAACAATCTGTTATACATTTTTAGTTCTTTAGCTACCGTTTTTTGCAGTTCCTGGTATGTATAAACCTCGTACATTCCAAGATCCAATGTATAGTCCATCATTCAAAGCCGAGGTCGTTGCCATGTTTAGACAGTCCGATTTTCCGAGGCTTCAATTTGGTTTAATAATAAGGTGTTTTTCTGGGATAGGGTTATTAGCCCAATGGCCAATCCCCAACCTGGAGGACCAGGAGCTTTGGTGTAAGACACAGGGGTCGCTCTCCTTCCTGTGAATCTCTGGGTGAGGACGTTACCATCCTCATTCAGGAATCGAACCCGTGCCATAGTGGTCGAAGTAATCGGGGGATAGCACTTGCAATTTTATTTTTTAAATTTTATTTATTATTATTATTATTAAATTTTATCTTTTTTGTTCTTGTGAACGGGATTTAAACTCTTGGCTTTTGCTGCTGCCAGACTGATACATCTCACTCCATTGTCATTGCTATTTTCTTGAAGGCTTTGGCCTCTGATAATGGGCCTGAATTGGAGTTCTCATCCTATCTTTGCATTAAAGTCAACTAAGACTAACTTTATGCCTTGTCTATGAGCTTGGTCAATATTTTCCAACTAACTGTAGAAATCATCCTTCACATCTTCATCTTTGTCTTCGGTTGGTGCATACACGTTAATTATCGTGATATTATTCAACAACCTTTAACTCGTCATACACTATTTTGATTTATCGGGATGAAGTTTATGATTAATTTCCTTGCTGCTTAACTAGCTATAAATCCTGTACTGGCTGTCGCATTTTTATTTTTTCTTCCGGAATAAAATAGTGTATGGCCATCGATAATGGTTTTGCCACCATCTAGCCACCTTATCTCTTGAATGGCTGTTAACAATCTGTTATTTTTAGTTCTTTAGCTACCGTTTTTTGCAGTTCCTGGTATGTATAACCTCGTACATTCCAAGATCCAATGTTAGTCCATCATTCAAAGCCGAGGTCGTTGCCATGTTTAGACAGTCCGATTTTCCGAGGCTTCAATTTGGTTTATAATATAAGGTGTTTTTCTGGATAGGGTTTATTAGCCCAATGGCCAATCCCCAACCTGGAGGACCAGGAGCTTTGGTGTAAGACACAGGGGTCGCTCTCCTTCCTGTGAATCTCTGGGTGAGGACGTTACCATCCTCATTCAGGAATCGAACCCGTGCCATAGTGGTCGAAGTAATCGGGGGATAGCACTTGCAATTTTATTTTTAAATTTTATTTATTATTATTATTATTTAAATTTTATCTTTTTTGTTCTTGTGAACGGGATTTAAACTCTTGGCTTTTCAATTTCGATAAAAATTTAAACAAAAATTCTGTAGATGTTGAGTGTATTTTTGCATGCACCTTAACTCTCTCGACCACTGTGGCCTCCCACTTATTGTTAGGTTATGTATCCTTTGAAAAGTAAACAAACAGTTTCTGAACCAAATTATATTTATTTTACACAATTATTTTAAATTATTTCTCAGGTTGGGTTGAGACAATAAACACACATTACTCAAATATATAATATAAATGCATATATTAATTGTATGTAACATTTATGAATTTCCATTCAATTTTATCGGGGTCTACTCTTGGTGCTCTTTCTAATTGTCACTATTTAATTTGCACTCACCCTGTTCTGCAGTGAATCTTCCTCCAATTGTTGTTGAAGGTATTGTTGTATTCAACTTATACAAATCTTCTCTTAATATTCTATTTTCTTATCTTCATCTAGACACTCACTACTTGTTGGTCACCTGTCACTCTCTGTTGTTCTCGATGATCTTTCCTTGCCAGCTGGTCACTTTCTCCTGTTTTTTTTCCTGATCTCGATCCTCTTTAATCGCTGGCTGGTTTCTTTCATATGGTTACATATGGCTCTTGGTTCCCCTTCCATCTGTCTTTTTCCGTCTCTTTGTCCAATTTTGACAGTAGTTCATGACGTCACTGCCTTCGCTCCACTATTTAAAATCACTATGTAATATTTGCATTACAATATATGTATACATAAACACTCTAAATAAGAATTTTTGAATTTGATTAATATCTTATATGTATATTTGTGTTGTACATTTTTAAACTTTTATATATATTTATATTATTATTTGATTCTAGGTATGATGCTTTAAATTTAGATACTGCCCTAATGGAGTGCAGAGCAGCATTGGATCTATTTTTTAACAATAGATTTGATGAAGCACGATTATTACTTTCACCTGGGTATTATATTTGTTACATTAATTACATCTTGCTATATTGTTAAACCCTAAACATGTTTTATAAAAATGTGAATAACAATTATAATAACCCAAAATTATAATATGTTAGTTTTTGGTAAATTTTAAAAAATAAGCCTAGTCTCTCAAGTCATGCTTTATTCCCAACTTTTTTATTTTATTTTTTTCCACTGCAGATATCAGGACTTCAACATCACTGTTAAATCATATAAATTCGAGCCTTACATAATAATATGAACATTTATGAAATTGATGTACCTGAATACGATACTTTCCTTTATTTTAGGTTTTGAAAAGTCCAATATCTAATAATTTTCTTCTCTTTCTTTTCATTTTTGTATTGCTTTTTTCGTACAAACTTTTTTATTTTGACACAATAGACTAGTAAACTATTGAGCTTTGTTCATAGGCAAGCTCTGAATTAAATTTTGAACTTCGTAAGGATGAATTGATTTTGGTGGTAATGTCATAGGTAAGGGTACGTTAAGGTGACTTTGTACAATTGTAGTAGAGAGTATGTCATTTATGTCATTATGAGGTTTGAACGTTTCTTCGAGGTGGCGAGCAAACAATTGCATCTGACTTTGCCCAGTAACCATCATGATGTCTGAGAGGATGTGACACATCATGATGCTGTAGAATCTGTTTGGTTATATTCCAAAGTAGTTTCTCACAAATTGCTAAACCATTCAAGAAGTTATCAAAATTTTCTGTCTTTGAACGTCTTATTTCATCGTGAAGTTGTCGAGTTAGTTTGTTAAACTTGTGTTTGTCAGATGGGTAATGAGTTCTTTGCCATATCTTACCAGCTTTTCGTTTTTGTATGATAAGATGTCTTATCTCCGGTGAAATGTAATTATGGTCATGTTGTTAGAGATATTAGAAGTCCATGCTGAATTTTGTATTGTTTGTGTGAGGTGATGAACTGCGTCGTCCAAGTCTTCAGACGTTCTTATATTAGTGTTCAGTGATAATGAATTTTCAATGGAAGATCTAAACTTTTTCCACTCAATTTTTCCAGGTGTTAGTGACAGTCGAGGAGATTTGGTTATAGGTTTTGAGTCTACCTTTAGAAGAAGAGGGGAGTGATCTGAAGATAGGTCAGTAAGATTAGTAATGGCACAACGATGTATGGTTATTCCCTTGGCAATGAAAAAATCCAAAACGTCAGGAATCCTGTTAGCATCGGTGGGCCAATATGTCGGTGAAGAGGGGGGTAAGCATTTACAATTCTGAGCAATAATCGCATTTTGAAGGGCTCTGCCCCTAGAATTACTGATTCTGCTGCCCCATACCTGATTCTTATCGTTGTAATCACCGCCACATAAATAATTTTTAAATTAATATTTTTATATAATAAAAAGAAAAAAAATAAGATAATATAAGTGAGACCAGTCTTGAACCAGGTTTTTAGGTTGTCCACTATTGAAGGCTAGGATGCTTGACTAGTCTATAGAGACACTTAGAGATAGCATGATTTGATGTAGAAAATACAGTTTAACCTCAATGTGAGGTGAAGAAATAATGTTTTTTATTTCACTTGATTATTAAAATTGAAGACCCGTTGAGTCATAAAATGTCTTTTAAAGGGATGCCACTCACCATTAAACTGTTCATACATTAAAAAATAAAATGTAACATCCAGCCGGCTCATATTACGTGTTGCAGCTGACGAGAGTTCTCTAGCAGGATAATGTCCCAGGTGCGGGAAGTCGCCGTCACAACCTGGTGAGATGGAATCATGGGTTTGCCTGAAAGAATTGTGACGGGACGGAAAACCTCATTGAGGTAGTACTAATATCAGAGCTCCCAGCAGCCATACTGAGCTTGTGATGTTTTCCTTTGCTCACTGGAATTATGTGATAAGAGAGGCGGGCTGACCCGGAACTGGCCGAAAACATCGTTGCTGGGACGTCTTTGTAGTGAACGAAATATTTAGGGCCTGTACATATAATATTTAGTAATACAATTATACAAAATAAAATTTACCCCCCATATCATGATATGGTCACAAAATAATATATATTTACTCATGTTGGCGTCAACAGCATGTGTTACATTTAGAAGACTATTTTTTAACTTTTTGCCAAGCTCGAGAACACATTTGCATTTCTTCAGCAGTTCTCGCCCCCATATTACCAACCTTATTACTCTAAGTCTCTTCGCGATTCTCGATTCCTCAATATCATCCTTTGTTTCTTTAATACAATATTCAATACCATCCCTTTAGTTAATAATAACATTTTTCCACTGTTTATGTTTAACCATTTTTTTTATTATTTACTATGTTTTTTTTGTTTTGTTTTTTCCTGTACCAAAGTCTTTGGTCATTCGATCATCCGACATCTTGCTGCCCAGTATAAGTTAGATTTTTTTATACATTCATTTACAAATGTTTTATTTCTTATGTCCGTCAAAGCAGGGCATGTTTCTAGGTGGTCTTCATCCAATTTTGCTTGATCACATAATTTATACCTAGGATCCTCAGCCACGCCTATCTTGTGGAGATGTCTTTGTAGATACTCATGACCAGTAGCCAGACAGACAGGCTACTGCACCTGTTCTTGGTAGGTCAGCTGGGATCGGGTTTTCCATCAAATTTATAACCTTTTATAACCTCTCCCTTCCACTTTGTCTGTGTGTATTTTTTTTTTATTTCCTCCTTCACTGCCATCCTCACATTCTCATCATTCGCCGAATTGAATCGTAAGATTTTGGATGGACTGGTTGAGGAAATTCTGCTCCTCTCTTGGTGAGACTATCTGCTTCCTCATTTACTGAAATCCATCCCACAATGGCTCGTAATCCACTGTAGAACCACATTGGTGCCTCGGAGTGTTAGATCGTAGAGAAGGGATTTGCACTGCAAGATAGCGCTCAACAGAAATATTAATTGCAGTGTGAAATGGTTAATTGTTTTAAATAAATGAAATTAAAGTTACTTAGAGGAAGATTGTACCAAGAGTTTTGAGAGGTTGAAACGTATTGAAATTGGGTGGAAATCTTTGGGAGAAGAAGGCTTAAAATTTTTATTTAAAGGACAAACAATGACATTTTTCAATGAGATAGGAAATAATGAATTCAGAAGAGAAAAATTATAGATAAAAAAATTTTAGGATCAAAAGGATTTTAGGGAGGCGTAATTTGATTAATTTAACAGAAACATCATCTTGACTAGTAAAATTAAAATCTGATTTCATTACAGAGGAGTTACATATATATTACCAGTCATGTATCAAATTATTTTGTGTGGCTTGCATTCATTCATGTGGATATTGCATTTATTCATATACATCAACTGTTATGTTTAGTTATAATTCCCAAATAGGTGAATAGTGGTCTGGTTAGTAATTAATTAAGACTTAGTGTACTTGGCTCTTCAGTGGGTTGTAGAATCAATCTGTTGGTTAGCACCCCACCACATTCTAATGTAAACATAAATTTAGAATCAGTACTTCCTTGTTAAGTTCTGAAATCTAATCTTGGATTGTAGTTTTATAGGTTTAAAAATTTAAGCAAAAAAAAATTAGATATTGATTTTAATGTTATGTGGTTTAAAAATAGCATCCTACTGTATTTTATAATTAGTCATTTATTTATATTGTTGATACAAGTATGATATTGATGTAACTAATCAAAACAATTTTTATTTTCAGGGTAGGAAAGAGCATGTACCACACCATGGGAAATGCTGTATTTTTGTATATAGAAGCAGTTCTAACTTTTGATCAGGTTAAGTCTCCAGTCCTTTCTTAAATCAAAATTTTATTTAATTCATTAATGGCTAAAAGTACTATTAATTCAATAATTATTGATTTCTTCCGCATATTAAGTTTTTGCTTTTGGTTATGAATATTTAATTACTCATGAATATTCCAATATATTATTATAAATTCCAAGGAAATAATTTTTAAAATACATTATCAACATAAAAATATTTCCTATTATGCATTGATGGTTGACCGTATAGTAAATCAAGAAGCAGATGGTTTGGGCGATGGTCAAAAATAACCTAAAATAATGCGAACTATTTATTAAGTGCCAAGGTTCAACCCAGTGCTGATTAGGGAGACATGTATGAATATACTGTACACCCCCCAATATTTTATTATTCTTGAAAGTCACCTGCACCATCATCTCCTTGATAAAAATACAGTGCAGTTTCTAAAATTTGACTGTTCACTATTCCAGCACATCCAGTATTCCAACAGTTTTCACATAAGATAGTTTGTAACATTAAAAAATAGTACTAGTTTGTTGTTGTCATTGAATGTAGTGAGTCATATTTAACCTGTCAAGAGTGATAGTTCTATTTGTGCAGTTGGCGTATAGTGTAGTGTAATGTAGCAAAAAAATGAAATCATGTCATATTAACTATAGATAAAAAGTATGAAATTTTAAAAGTTAGGAAAATGACGAAAAGTTGGCTCATTTATTCAAGTTGTACATTATTGACTGTGCAACAGTACACAACATAAAAATGAAAAAAGTGTATGTAATTTTTATGGACCGTTAAACTAAAAATAAATAATGATGTAGAGATGGTTGACCGTCATATAATATGAGGAGTTGATTGGAGAGGTGCGGTCAACTCTTCATAAAAATAAATAAGTCATGTTATAGAATGTTAATAGTATACATTGGTAATATAATTTGCAGAGAGTAACAAAAAGATATATTTGAAAAATGAAATGAAAATGAAAATTATTTTATTATTCTAGGACTAGTGTCCCTTTAGAACAAGTTACAAATACAGAATATGTATTTATATTTTGGTGTGGTCCATAAAATACAATTTAATATTTACAGGTTGGTTCAGAGTACAATAAAGTTATAAATGATAAAAAGATATAAATACGTGTAAATATAAAATATACAGAGAAAGTAATTAAGTAAACGAAATATCGATGAATTATAAAATGATCAGAGTATCTGGGTGTACTTTGAGGTTTTTAAGTGCATTTCGTGATCAATCGGATTGGGAATGGAGTAGGTGTTTGAAGAGAAGAGATTTGAAAGAGGATATTGATTTTGCGTGTCGAATATCTGAAGGTATAGAGTTCCAGAGGGAGACAACTTGTATTAAAAAGGATTTATCAAACGCAGCAGTTCGATGAGGAGGAGGATAGAGGTCGGACGCACGGGATCTGGTGGGACGGGATTGAAAGGAGCGTTTGAATTGTAGGATCTGTAGAATATAGGTAGGTCGCTGTGTTGTAATGGCTTGGTATAGGAAGGTAGCCAGGAAATATTGACGACGGTAGGACGGATAAAGCCACTTCAACTTGGTGTAGAACTGGGTAATATGCGTATCCCTTGAGATCCCAAAGATAAAGTGGATTGAGCAATTCATTAAACGTTTAAGTTTGGCTTCGAGTTCTCCCGAGAGTCCACCATACACCATGCAGCCACAGTCGAAGTGGGGGAAAACAAGATAACGTATATGGTTAAACTGTTTCAGGGTGGATATAGTTTGGCGGGAAATTTGGGGGATATCTGGTTTCCAGGAGAGGCTTTGATTGAGGGTAACACCTAGGTTTTTAACGGTGGTATGGAAGGAGATAGGTGAGTTGTTCAGAAGAAGATTAGGAGGTGCTGAAATGGATTTGAGGAGTGAGGGGGATCGGATTAGGTTGACTTTTGTCTTCTCCATATTTAATGTCAGCTTATTAAGATTTGCCCATGCGCATATTCTATTGATGTCTTGTTGCAGTTTCAGGATGGCATTAGAGGAATTTGCCAGGTTGAAGGAAAGATAAATTTGGACGTCATCGGCGTATAGGTGATATTGACAGTGTATGATAGAGGAAGGGATTGATGAAGATGGAAAAGAGGGTGGGGGATAATGAGGAACCTTGTAGGACGCCTCTGGACAGAGGTAGAGACATTGATTGAGGGTTATTAGGAACTACAACGTACTGGGAGCGATCAGTGAGAAAGGATTGGAACCACTTTAGGGCACTAGATGATAAGGATATATTTTTAAGTTTGGTTAGGAGGATATGGTCAACTGAGTCGAATGCTTTACAGAAATCAAGAAGGATCAGGATGGTGAGTTTCTGTTGATCTATGGCTGGGTGGAGATCTTGGGAGATTTTAATGAGGGCGGAATGAGTGGAGTAGTCTGATCTAAAACCAGACTGGAAGCAGTTCAAATGTGTATTTTGTTCGCGATATTGGGATAGTTGAGATTGTACTATTCGTTCTAAAGGTTTGGAAAGGTTAGATAACAGGGAAATTGAACGGAAATCATTAGAGGTTGTGGGACTAGAGATTTTGTTCAGAGGACAAACAAGAGCGGTTTTTCAGGTGCTGGGAAAAGTGGAACTTTGTAGTGAGAAATTATAGATATGATAAAGGACTGGGAAAATAGATGGAAGTGAGGATTTAATTATTTAACTAGGATATTATCTGGTCCAAAATCTTTGTTTTGGGATTTACAGATGGATTTAAGGAGGTCGTCAGGGGTAATATGCGAAAAGAAAAAATGATTGGGATTAAACGGGGGATGTATAAGGGGTGGAGCTGGTGCTTGGACAGAGGGATCGGATGAACAGGAAACAAAATGAGTGTTGATTATGTCAGCTGAAATAGAGGTAGTCTGGGTTTGGGTGGATTTGCCTAAGGATAATTTACGAAGGATTGCCCACATAGCTTTGGAGTTTGGTGTGCTGTATAAGGATTGCTAGTAGTGGTGGGATTTGGCACGGGGTATCATGGATTGCATACTGTTTCGAAGTAGCTTGAAATTCATGCAGTCTTCGGGGAGTCAAGTGCACTTAAACCTTCGTCTTGCTGTGTCTCTTCGTTTGATGCAATTTTTTATGGCAGGCGTCAACCAAGTGGCTGGGGGGTCATTACTTCTAATGACCTCCTTAACTCCATTCAAAAATCTCATACCAATGATTATGAACCCGATAACATCCCAGTCAGACTGATCAAAGTCTCTCTACTATCCATTCTTCCAAACCTCTACCATATCTACAATTACTCACTACAAAAGAGTACCTTCCCTACATCCTGGAAATCCACATTAGTTTGCCCTTTGAAGAAAACTTCTAACCCATCAACTCTTAATGATTTCTGTCCAATTTCTCTCCTCTCAAACCTCTCCAAATCTTTAGAGCGACTAATTCAAACCCAATTATCTGACTTTTTAGAACAGAATAACCTCCTAAATCCCTATCAGTCCAGTTTCCGGCCTGGCAACTCCACTCAGTCTGCCCTCATCAAAATTTCCCAAGACCTTCATACAGCCATAGACCAGCAGAAACTCATCATCCTTATAATCCTTGACTTCTCCAAAGCATTTATTTGACTCAGTAGACCACAAAATTCTCCTAACCAAGCTTAAAAATATCCCCGTTTCTACTAGTGCCCTTAATTGGTTCCAATCCTTCCTTACTGGTCGCTCCCAATATGTTGTAGTCCCTGATAACTCCCATCAGAATCTTTACCCTTGTCCAAAGGTGTCCCACAAGGCTCCTCCTTATCTCCCACCCTTTTTTCCATCTACATAAATTACCTCCCATCCTCTATTCTACACTGTCAATACCATCGGTATGCCAACAACCTCCAGATTTATCTCTTCTTCAATCCAACCGAATCCTCTGGTGCCATCCAAAAATTACAGGAAGATAAAAACGGAATTTGTGCTTGGGCAAACCACAATAGGATTACTCTAAGTGCCAAGAAGATGAAAGCCATCCTGATTGGATCTCCCTCACTCCTCAAATCCTTACCGACACTCCCCAATCTTTTAATGAACAACTCACCTATCTCATTCCATACTTCCGTAAAAAAACTTAGTGTTACCTTTGATCAAACCCTTTCTTGGAAACCACTCATCTCCCAAATTTCCCATCGTACTATCTCTACTCTGAAACAGTTCAACCATCAACGCTATCTTCTTTCTTATAAATTCTGTCTACTCCTGCTTTCTTCTCTTGTGTTCCCCCACTTTGACTATGGCTGCCTGGTATATGGCGGACTCTCGGGAAAATTTGAAGCCAAACTTAAACACCTAATGAATTGCTCAGGTTTTCGGAATCTCAAGAGATATGCATGTAACCCAGTATTGCACCGACTTGAAGTGGCTCTATCCATCCAACCGCCGTCTACTTCCTTGCTACCTTTCTATAGCAATCCATCAGAACTCAGCGACCTTTCTATATTTTTCACAGCCTATAATTTAAATATTCCATTCAATCCCGTCCCACTAGATCGCGTACTTCTGACCTCTATCCACCTCCTCATCGAACTGCTCCGTTTGACAAATCCTTTATAATTCAAGCCGTTTCCATCTGGAATACCATCCCTCCCTATATCCGACATGCACAATCAGTTTCCTCATTTAAATCTCTCCTTTTTAAACACCTATTCCTTTCCCAATCCGGTTGATCACAAAATGTACAAAAGAGAACTTTTTAAGTTCTCCCAGAAATTATTTTATTTTGTTTTCCTATGTTTATTTTATATATATCTGTATGTTTTTGTTTTGTTTTTAGTGGGTTTTTTCCTATATTTTAATTTTAATGAGATATTATTTTGTAAATATTTAATTTAATGTATGGCCAAAAAGTTTTGACCACTGAGAGCTGTCTTGACACAATGTAAAGATGGGATACATGGATTGCCTCACAGATATAGTCAAAATGGGGGGAAATGAGAGAGGATGCATGGAGCTAATCTGGAATCAAGTGACAGGAATGATGAAATATTTCAGTGTTACCAATTTACCTAGGGTTATATCTTTATCTTTCTAAGACATGATTATTATTATTAAAATAATTGAAAATCTTATAAATATATTGAAATTTAACTTATTATTATTTTGTTTTAGTGCCTCATAACAAAAGCCTCTGAAGCTTTAAAATCCTGCATCGATTTATGTAATAAATATCGCAGAAAATCAACTCTTTCTGAGTCTCTTGGTCGAATGGTTAAAAAACCACATTCTAACAGCATTACTACAGGTTTGTTAGTACCTAAACTTAGAGTAATGGTTTGACATTGCACTAAAAGTTTGAGCATGTTTTTTTTTCCCTAAAATTATTATTCACCATATTGAATTAGAGTAGACTCCACATAACTGAAAAGATATAAATGTATTTTACACAGTTTCAGCATTAACGCTATAGTATTTAGTACTTATGCTATACGCTATAAGGAGATAAGTCTGACAAATAAGATAGGTGTGGGAGGACTTCATAAGCTCATTTAGTTTCTTCACTGTCTATTGTGAAACATAAGGTCTGGCATAGTCATGTAAGAGTAAAGGTCCCATCCGATTAACCAATGTAGGTTGTTTTTTAGCAAGTTTTTCATGCATTATATCAATATCACGACAGTACAATATGGATGTGATGGTTTCACCTCTGGGTAAAAAGGAGAAATGAATTAGTCCTGCCATTGACCACTACACAGAAACCAATAATTTTTTTGGATACAATTTTTTTCAAACCATCGACAAATGCTCTGTTATTCATTACAACATCCTTCCCTGAAGGCTGTGGTAATATTTCCAAGTTTAAAATCATAAAAAAAATTACCCAAAAATCATATGTTTCCGTGGTCATATTTGATGGTATACTAAACAATGTGCAGTCAATGGGAATGATAGTATTATCAAAAAAGCTCATTATAATCTGTTTACATAAGCATACTAAACAACAAAAGTCCACTAATCCCACTTTGAATTTCTGAAATAATAAAAATGGACATTTCATGTGCCAATCCTTCATGATTTTGACTATAAGTCAGTAATTATTTATAAATTTAATTTGTTTTTTCACTTCAATTATATTTTTTCTCAAGCAGATTTTCTTTTTAGTCATTTATATATCGTCATTTATGGTAATGTATATGCAGATTTAATTATGCTAATGTAGTTTTTCGGCCAATTTCTGTTTTATTAATGCATCTTATTCTTAATGGTCCTAGTCCCAGGATAAAGTTTGTTTTCTATCTATCTAAACCTCATATATTAAGACGTTTTTATTTAAAGTTAGAATATTGTAAATTGGTGTTATAGTAATATATATATATATATATATATATATATATATATATATATATATATATATATATATATATATATATATATATAGCTTAATTATGATATTCATGTTAAATTATTGAAGTATTTTCTTTTATATACTCTGGATTAACCTTCTCATATGCCTAACCAGTGATATCTTGTTTTCTATTAGGATGGGTAAGGGACAGTCTACTGTTTAGTCATCACTGTAATTTCCTTTTCCTTGTGTTGAATGTTAGTTTTTTAGCTAGTGCTTTTATCAACCCCTGTAGTATTTTTCTAACTTAATGAAATCTTTCTTTACCCATGTGCTTTTTTGGTCATCCAAAATTGTAAGTTTTTGATGTTGAATATGTGTATCCATATTATAATTTTTTAAATATACTTGTGAACTGAGTCTTCCTTTAAAAACTATTTATTTTTCATTTTATATAAATTAGTCAAGACTTCAAGTCTTTATTTCATCTTTAGGATATTTAATATTATTAGCTGTTCATCAACATCATTCTCATTTTTTGTTAAATTTTGAATTAATTATATTTCAAGGCATATCTGAACTACTTTAATTGTTATTAAATAAAAAATGATAAGTAGTTCAGATATGCCTTGAAACGTAAAAGAATTATAAGTTTAACCAAAAAAAAAGACAGAGGATGATTAACTGCTGATAATATTAAATTTATTGAAGATGAGAAAAAGGCTTGTAATATTGACCAATTTATTTAAAACAGAAAATAAGCATTTTTTTAAAGGTAGACCCAGTTAATGAGTTTATTACAAAAAGAATAATAAAACTTCCAAAAATAAGCAAACTTGTATACAATGATGTGTATATATATATATATATATATATATATATATATATATATTATATATATATATATGTGTGTGTGTGTGTACATACATATCATTGTACAAAGTCATATTTGAAGTAATTTAAATTGGGCGATCTGCCAAAGGTCGACACCATGTAATCTTCTTTTCTACACTGTAGTGGAATCTAGTCTCTGTGACAATGTGAGGAAGTGAAAGTGTTAGCAAGGGCTGCTGGGGTAGCTGCTCTTTCTTGCTTCAGGTGGGAATCTGCCTCAGGCCTAATAGGTAAACCCAAGTCAGTTCAATGCTGGTAAGACGGCTTAAGAGGCAGCTTCTCTACCTGATTCTGGAGCAATGGCCTGAAGGTGCATTTTCAAAATTCAATTGACTTATAATGACCTAGAAAGAAACTCTCCAAAACTGTCACATAAATAAATTTTGGTTGAATCCATAAAAGCATATTTAAAACACTATATTAAGAAGGAATTTTTAATTCCTGATTGAATGGAATTTCACCAACTGACACGTTTGTGTTTGTGTATTTCAATCATTTATGTTGTTTATTAAGTTTGCAAAGGTTTAGACTCAAGCATGTTGGTCATCACAAGGGCAAAAAATTTTAAAAAACAAATATATATATATATATATATATATATATATATTTATTATATATCACGTTAGCTGCTGAATATAATATCTCTTAAATGTCTTTCCCGACAATATCGGTTCCCGGTGACAATATTTTTATTATTCTCTTTATTTTAGTAAAAAAGTGTTATTTTTACCAATAATCTTGATAAAGTTAGAAATGTTTTAAAATGTTATGGCTTAATAACTTTTATTTTTGCTCATCTTTCAGTAAGTGTTTGTATTTAGGAAACTTAGTTTATCTTTAGCTATTTATTTCATGTGGTTGGTGTCTGTTTTTAGTAAATTGCAGATGAGTGTGTGTGGGGGGGGGTCCACTTATTAAAAAGAGGTTAACTACTTTGTTTTCTACTGCTTTTTGGTTAATTGAAGTGGTAATTTTCTTTGGATGATTAATTTATTATTTTATGTATTAATTTTATCCCTATTCATGAAATTGGTTGGTGTAGTGAATTTACCTATTCTAACAATTCCAAAGTAAATAGGTTTTAGCCACCATTTTGTCTCTTTTTTCCTGTTTTGGTTCCGAAACAATAGAACATCTAGAAACAGTATTTTGTTTTCAATTTGAAATTCTATGGTAAAATTTAATGGGGGAAATAGTTTTTAAATTCTGTTAAAATCATTTCTTTTTGATTATGCTCAGTTACTATTTCAGTTATGTCGACCATAAATTGAAATAGGAATGGTATATTAAACAAGATTTCGGGAACAACCAAATCTATTCATCGATATAAAATTTGATTTTTATTTAAGAATTAGAAAGTTGTTGTTATATATAAGTTGTGTTTCTCCATTTATTAGAAGTAGCACATTTTTTTTATTTTCGCAGTAGTTTAACTAGGTATGACTGTGTCCCAATTGAAGAATTTTTCTTATGCACCCTCCTTCCCTCAAAAAAATAATAACCAACTTTATCCGTAAGATTTAAGTACTAGTACTATGTCATATTGTGACATTTTCAAATTCCTTTCTCAGCATACTAAACATATCATAATATTTATCTGAATTTCTTTTCATGCACTATGCTTCCCAAAGGCTCTGCACTCCAGTATGTTGCATTGGATGTTATTTACACCACTGCATGTGTGAGTTTTACTTATTATACTTTTGCACTTCCAGCAATGACTGATGAAGTTTGAATTTTCTACAAGCTTGTGTTCATTTTTCTAATAGCACCTGTAGATTTGAAATTGTAGTTTCCACATGAAATATTGTCGAGTGTGAAGGTCTACATAAAGATGATAAGGAGTGAATCAAAGTGGAATGCAGATAGAAATGTCACCACGTTCAAGAATATTATATAGTTGGTTTTTTCCAAAAAGTCATTAAGTGTCATTTCATAACATTAATTAATTAAGAACTTTGATGACCTTTCTTTTTGTGAAATCAGAAAGTTGTGTGCTTGTATCTATATTTGACATATAAAAAGGTTTGTATCATTTTAGTGCCTTTACTGTTTTTTTGTTTTGTTTTTTTGGATTGATAAGTTCAAAATTCATAAAAACATTCTTTAAAAGTTCAGCTGTATCAAAAAAGTACTTAGTAACTTTTTGCAATAAACCAATGATATATTATTTATATTTTTACTCCTGAATTGTGTCACCATTCTAGTTGCCCCACCCATGCTTTATATTTTTACTCCTGAATTGTGTCACCATTCTAGTTGCCCCACCCATGCTCCGCTGTGTGTGGGTGTGCAGTCAAAACTATCAAACTAGGGTACTTTGTAATACAAATTACCTAAAAAGCAATTTAAAATAATAAAGAAGAATGTTACTGAAATGATTAGTTATATATTTTTCTGATAACTGAACTCTTACCAGACCAATAATACTTCAACATTTGGTTTGTTTTTAATCAGCTAAGGAAGATATGTAACACATGTTAAATTCCATGCAGGCTTAACTATTATTAGTTAAATAGAAAAGATTTTAGGTTATTTCTATCTTTCATATTGTGTACTGCAATATATGCTTAGAAACATTTTCATAACTTAGTTGGTACATTAATGTATTTCTAAAAAGACAATTAGATTAACTTAGTGTTGTTTCAGTCCAACTTTTAGAGTGTTGTTTCAGTCCAACTTTTAGGGCTTTATCCGGGCTAAGTAAAGACAGGGTAAAAACCAATGCCAAGAAAGAGATATTCCCCAATGCAGATCTCTTTTTATCAAATTATTAACATCTGTCTAAAACTTGTTGAATGGCCTCATCTTAACATAAACTACAACTTTTTATTTACAAAAATTCTCGTAAATAGGGTGTTTTCAATCTGGAAATTGGTAAACTTTTCTATTTAATGAGATTCTAAAAATGCATGAATACCCATTTGATTTCCACTTGAATTGTAAGATAATTTGATCAGAAGATCAAGGAAAAAGATGGCCTTCAAAAATATGAAAAATATGCAAGCATGACTTGCATCCCCAATATGTCAAAATAATGAGATTATATAGGCTAAATGGCCGAA